GTTTTTTTTTTTTTTTTTTCAAATGAACCATCTTCAAGTATACCAATTCCCTAGAATTTTTTTAATTCTTTTTCACGGTTTACAGCTCTCTGTTGATACATTCATTTTGTTCATGCACTGTTTTTCTGATTTTATTTACTTGTCTGTGTCCTCTTTTAGCTGACTGAGCATCTTCTAGAGTTGTTTTGAATTCTTTGTCAGGTAATTCATAGGTCTCTATTTCTTTAAGATCAGTTTCTAGAGATTAATTTTGTTCCTTTGAGAGGCCAATGTTTTGTTTCTTTTTATGCCTTGTGATCATTTGTTGAGATTTGAATATTTAGAGAAACAGCCACTTCTCCCAGTCTTTACAGACTGACTTTGTACAAGGAAAGACCTTCTCCAATCAGACAGGCCAGCAATTCAGCAAGCCCCTCAAATCTTTTCTGGGGATGTATCTTCTCTGGGACTATGTGTGTAATTTCCAAGTGAAAGAGGTTTGCCCCTGTTCTCAAAACCCTATAATCTGTTGCTCACCCTGATTTCTTTACGCAGTACTGCAGTCTCTCCAGTGCTTGCTTTGTTCTTGGCAGCCTCTAATCTCACATGTAAAGTAAACTACTGTTTCATTCAGCACTCTAAGTCAGGAGACAGAGAAACCAGTCCCTCAAGCCGCCCTTGAAAAACCAGAACACTGGGCACAGGTTTCACTCTTCTCTTTTCCCTCAAGGGAGAAGCTAAGACTTGGGATCACACCATGCTGTGCCAGGGAGGGGAAAGGGTGAAGGGGGGCAAATGCAATGAACTTTCTTACCCGCTTCAAAGCAGCTCTTCTTGGCTTTGTGTATGTCTGGGGGACTGCAACCACTTAAATGGTTTCTGGAATTCTCACAAAGGCAATCTGATCTATATGTTGTTCTTAAGTCCGTGTCTCCATGGCAGAATGAGGTCCTGGTGCTTTCTATTCCACCATCTTGCTGACATTACTCCCAAACTATCCTTAACTTTTGCCATCCAAAACGATGCTGCATTTAGGTGTGCCAAGTTGAATAAAGTTATTACTTCCTGGACTACAATGTAAATGCTATAGTTACATTTTCAACTCCCGTTCAGCAGATTAATGTAATTAATTGTGAACATATGGCAATGTGTGCTCCTCTAAAGCAAGCGTCATCTTTTTGTTATCCCTACTGTCAAGCACGGTATCTAACACATAGTAAGTATTGTGTAAAAACTGCTTAATGTTCTAATATGAGTTACAACTACTTGCCCAGAGGAAAAAAGGTCAGTTTCATTGCTAAGAACCTTTTCCTTTTTATTTTTTTTTATTTTTTAATTTTTTTTAAAATTTTTTTATGTTTTATTTATTTCTAGGAGAGAGAGAGACAGCGTGAGCAGGGGAGAGTCAGAGAGAGAGGGAGTCACAGACCAAAAGAGGCTCCAGGCTCTGAGCTGGCAGTCAGCACAGAGCCCGACGCGGGGCTCGAACCCACGAACCGTGAGATCATGACCTAAGCGAAAGTCGGACGCTTAACCAACTAAGCCACCCAGGCGCCCCTACCTTTTTCTTTTTAAAAGCCATTAATGATCCATACATATCCACCCAGATTCTGCTTGCTTATCTGGAGGTAATACCAAGGCTCTACTATAACACTGATCCTTAGTTTTTTAAAAACTAAGTTTGTTTTAATTAGCTAAAGTCCATATTTTATTGAGATTTCCTTAGTTTTTGCCTAATGTGCTTTTTCTGTTTCCGGATACCACATCGCATTTAGTTATCATGTCTCCTTAGGCTCCTCTTGGGTTAGAAAGTTTCTTAAACTTCCCATGTTTTTTAATGACCTTGACAGTTCTGAAGAGTATTGGCCAGATTTTGTAGAATGCCTCTCAACTGGGATTTTTCTGATGCTATTCTCATGATTGTATTTAGGTTATGTTTAGGGGGGGAAAACTACAGAGGTAATGGGCAATTCCCATCATATCATATCATATCATATCATATCATATCATATCATATCATATATCATATCAAGGGTACATCCTATTATCATGAGTTATCACTGTTGATTTTAGTTTTGATCAACTAGCTGAGGTAGTGTTTGGTTTCTCCAGTGTAAAATGTACTCTTTTCCCCTCCTTTCTATATTTACAGTTTGGAGGAAAGTCATTATGTGCAGGACATTATCTTTCTAAAGAGATTTAGCCTGTGATTTCATAGCATGTTCCACATTCTAGTTTGCTTGATTTTTCACAGTGTCATTTAGTTTGCTCTTTTATCCTTGCATTTCCTGTAAATCTCAATTATACGATTGATGCTATGTACATCACATCAGATGGTGTGTGATGTCAGACTGACCCATATTAGCAATCATTTGGTTAGGATGATAATGATAGAGCTCTTCACTGTAAACATACATTTTTTTTCTCCTTTGCAATTAGCAAGAACTCTATGGTGTATACTTCGGTATCTTGTTCTTTGTCCATGGACATCTGTGCTACAAGAAAATAATACACAAAGGTGATGTCCTTAAAGTTCCTCTCACTCACAGCAATTAATTATCTATCTTCTCATTCAACAAACGTCTCCTGAAGGTCTGCTAAGTTCTAGGCAGTGCTTAGCTGCTATAACTTCTAGAGGGGAAAGATGGGCTCTGTCCTTCAGCAGCACATCCCAGTGCTACAGAGTGCTATAAGAGTTTCAATAAAGTCTTCTCAGTTTACACTGGTGATAAGCACAAGGTGCTTTCTTTGGTGATTTTCATGTAATTGTTCACCATACTTGGCTCATATATTCAAGATTTTCAATAGCAAATGTTGAAACAGAGTTTTTAATTTAAACTTTATTTAACTCGATTCCTTAATCACAAAACAGTCTAGTTAATTTTTGTTGCCTCCATAGAGGGACTTGTGCAGGTACTGTAAAAACAAAAATCTCTAGAAGGCAGTATGGCTTAGAGGAATGAATGTAGACTTCAGAGCTGGAAAGGACTGAATTCAAATCTCTGTCTCCCAATTAGTAGTCATGTTATTAGCTTTGTGATCTGGCACAAATTACTTAACTTCTCTGAGCCATGGATTCCTGTACATAAGCTAGAGAAAATACCTAATTCCAAGGGTTTCTAGAATCAAACAAACAAAAATATATGAAGTGCTTAGTCGAGTTCCCAAGTTCCTGGCATGTAGTAAATATTTGATAGATACTCCTCTTGAGAAACAACACAAACTACAAAAGTATGCATATAATTGCAAATGAGGAGATAAAGGGTTAGTATCCAAAATCTATAAAGAACTTATCAAACTCAAAAAATGAATAATTCAGTGAAGAAATGGGCAAAAGATATGAATAGACACTTCTCCAAATAAGACATCCAGATGGCTAACAGACACATGAAAAGATGCTCAACATCACTCATCATCAGGGAAATGTAAATCAAAACCACAATGAGATATCACCTCACACCTGTCAGAATGGCTAAAATCAACAACTCAGGCAATGACAAGGTGTTGGGGAGGATGCGGAGAAAGAGGGTCTCTTCAGGGGCGCCTGGGTGGCTTAGTCGGTTAAGCGTCCGACTTTCGCTTAGGTCAGGATCTCGCGGTTCGTGGGTTCGAGCCCCGCATCCGGCTCTGTGCTGACTGCCAGCTCAGAGCCTGGAGCCTGTTTCAGTCTGTGACTCCCTCTCTCTCTGACCCTCCCCTGCTCACGCTGTCTCTCTCCTCCTCTCCTAGAAATAAATAAAAAAAAAAAAAAAGAAAGAGGGTCTCTTTTGTACTTCTGGTGGGAATGCAAACTGGTGCAGCCACTCTGGAAAACAGTACAGGTTCCTTCAAAAAATTAAAAACAGAACTACCCTATTACCCAGAAATTGCACTACTAGGTATCTACCCAAGGGATACAGGTGTGCTGTTTCGAAACGACACATGCACCCCAATGTTCATAGCAGCACTATCGACAACAGCTAAAGAATGGAGAGAGCCTAAATGTCCACTGACAGATGAATGGATAAAGAAGATGTGGTGTATACACACAATGGAGGATTACTCGGCAATCAGAAAGAATGAAATCTTGCCATCTGCAACTATGTGGATGGAACTGGAGGGTATTATGCTAAGTGAAACTGATCAGTCAGAGAAAGACAAGTATCATATGACCTCACTTATATGAGGAATTTAAAATGCTAAAAGAATTAATATAAGGGAAAGGAAGCCAAATTTATATAAAAACAGGAAGGGGGACAAAACATAAGAGAATCTTAAATACAGAGAACAATCAGAGGGTTGCTGAAGGGGTTGTGGGGGTGGGGGTGCTAATGGGTAAGGGGCATTAAGGAATCTAGCCCTGAAATCATTGTTGCGCTATATGCTAACCTTGACATAAATTAAACAATAAATTAATTAATTAAAAAATAAAAAATAGGGGCACCTGGGTGGCTCAGCTGATTAAGCGTCTGACTTTGCTCAGGTCATGATCTCGCTGCTAACGGGTTCAAGCCCCACCTCAGTCTCTGTGCTGACAGCTTGGAACCTGGAGCCTGCTTCGGATTCTGTTTCCCCCCACCCCCTCTGCCCCTTCCCTACTCATGCTCTCTCTCTCTCTCTTTCAAAAATAAATAAGCATTAAAAACAATTTTTTTAATAAAAAAGTATGCATATAAGACAATCAATTACTCTGACTTGGGCATTTTTCCATCAGCAATGTATCATATGAACAATACCAAAATAATATGACTCTAGCACAGGGCAAGGCTAATTCATACTTTTCATTAGCGTAAAAGACGCTGATATGTCTCCAACAAAATGTGCAAATTCCCACCCATCCCTGCACCCTGCTGGCGCTCCACACACACTCCGTATGTGTGCCTATAATTTTGGGGATGGCTAGGGGGTGGGAAGCCCACAGAACCAGTAACATATCTGACACAGAGTTAAGTTTGAAAGGCATGAAGATGGCACCAAAGACACCTTACAGGCAGAAATTTTAAAGGGGGGTCTGTGCTCTAGACAGACAGAATATACGTCACCTTTCTGCTCAGCCAGCTTCCACAGGTCCTGAGCTGCTGCCCAAGATAGTGTCATTGGATATTCCACAAGGACATGCTTGCCAGCATTAAGGAACTGCCTTTGAAAAAGAGAGAGAAAATATATTCAAGTAAGCTTCACTAAAATACCCTGCATAATAGAGAATGGAACGTTATAAATACACATACATCTCTGAGTTATGCAGGGATACAGATGAGAATCAGGGCCAGAGGCTAAGGAGGATGAACTGTACTTCCTGTTAATTTCTCCTGTGCTAGAAGAGAATGACTTTCTAGTTATGTATTAATTTGAACATGCATCCATTCACCTACTCATGATTTCAGCTAGCCGCTATTTATCAGCTACTCTGGAGGAGAAATAAAAGACATTACTATGTGAATTGCCTATTATCACGATAGCTATAAATAAAGACTACCAAACCCATGAAAGCAGCTCTGCTCGAGGCAGTCTGATTTCAGTAACTACATCAGAATTGGGTCTTGAAATAGTAGGCATTTTCCAGGTGCAACAGGCAAGATGAGAGAATTTCACTTGGGGCAGCTGATGCAGAAGCCTGGGTGTGGGAGATCTGTCCATCTACATAACAGTATGAATTTCAGCATGGCAGGAGAATGGACTCCAGGGACTAGAGGGAAACAAAGTCACGAAAGTAGCTGAAAGTCTGACTGAAGAACCTAGAACGCTACGCTCAGAAGTCTGATTTCATTGTCTCGATACTCCTAAGGTACAAACATTAATAAGATGAAAATTACAAAATTACCTTTTTAAGGAAATACACTCTGGTGCCAAAGTGGGCTAAAGGGAACCAATGAAAGGTGTTTCTTTCCACACTAGAGCTGGAGTGACAAGGAGGGGAACAGCACAGTGGCAGCTGCAATTTAAGGTAAGTACCGAAAAGGAAGTGAGACTCAGGGAGGCCACCAGGTCCTGGGTGGGGCTCCTTCCAGGCTCAGCCCCACCCAACGCTTGAAGGGCGCTAAGCTTTGCATCCGCAGGTGGGGCAGAGGAACATGTCACCCCTCTCCCTCTATGATGTCCATGCCACCACTACTGCTTTCCTCACCTCTTGGCAAAAAAAACTCATATTAAGGGAACTCTTGGAGACATTTAACAATGTTAAAAGCACAAAGGATAAAATGTTGGAAGCTGGTCCAGACTTAGAAAGGATTACGACAAAGCACAGAAAAGATGTGGGCTCCACGTCCTACCCTGAGAAAAACCAGCACTATTCAAACCACTGTCAATTAGTTTTTTAACAAGGAAAACTCTTTAATTCTTTGTTTCTATTGTAACAGCATACTAAATAAATTTTAGTTTTACATAGTTTTCATTTTCTTATACTTTTATAACCAATAGTAAGAGTTTTGACAATTTTTAAAGGCAATGGCCCCACTGTAATTTCCCCCTTTGATTATTAAGATTTCTCTGCAAGATTTCAGCTTGCCCCACCATTTTTATACTCCTGCACTACCGTGCAAGGCAAGGACTACTTACATTGAAAACCCACCTGATATAGTCCTCGTGGCTAGAGCTCTCACTGCAGATATAAGCAACCTCTACCTCTGGGCTGGAAAGAGCATCTTCCAAAGAAATCTGCTGGACTTCATCAATGTTCCCGAGCTCTCGTCTATTTAAGAATAACAGAAATGCAACCCAAAAGTATACAGAATATCAAATAAATAAATGAGCACATTTACATTTATATATATTTTTTATATTTATATTTATATATCCTTCTCCTCTCCTCCCAACAATGCCCTGATAATTAGCTTTTGGAAATAAAAAATTAATTTCCTATGCCCCATTTCTAGGACATTTTCCAACATGGAGAAAAACAGCCTCAGGGTTTAAGTCAAGAGACCTGGCACTGAGTGCCAACACTACTGCTAACAGCCGACATGAGGTGGCCATCTTTGAATTATTTCATCTCTAAAATGAAAACAACTGATCTCTTTTGATCTCATGAGAAGTGGTCTCTATGATCACAGCCAGCTCCAAGCCTTTGGCCAAACACTGACTACACCAGACTTCGCTCACAGTCTAAGAGAGGAAGGGAGACACGCATGGATGTAGCAACATCACAACACTGACACGAGAAATGCTGTGTTGTGGGTACAGGTGGATCCTTCAAGGAAGGCAAAGAGCATCCAGTTTAGGGTTTCAGAGGAGGCTTCCGGGGAAGATGTGACAACACAGCAGGTAGGTCACAGGGACTGGGGAGCAGTGTGAGAATGGCAGGCGTGTAAAGCAGGGGTATGAGCCGGCCATCTTCCCACTTGACTCGGGCAGCATAGGAGTTTCCACTCTACCAGTCATGGCAGCCAGCTAGCAGAGGACTGGGGCTTATGGGACAAGGAGAGGCCCCACTTTGGCCTTGAACCCCAGTGTTGTGTTCAACCCAGCTTCAGTTAAGGGTGCAATGGGAGTTACAGTGTTGGCTAATAATAATTTTGACCTCCCATTTGTGTACAACTCCCTTACAATCTTCCTGAGAGGAGAAGATTGTCCTAGGGCAGACTGCTAGCACTTCTAGGTCTCTCTAGTGTCCCAAAGTTCACTTTACAGCCTTAAAAGAAAAGCCAGGTTTGAGACCGGTAAACTTGAGGAAAGTAGGTCCCATGAATTAAGATATGAAAAATGTCTGCAGGGACCGTCACAGGAGTTAAATCATTCTATTTATTTTATTTCTCTAAAGCACTAGAAAACAGGGAGGTGCCTAAGTTGCTTACCACTCCCTCTACTCAGCCAGGAGAGTGCCTACATCTTGTTCACAATTGACACTCATAAATGACATTATTTGGTATTAGTTCGGTGAATGGTGTGTATGAGGAAGTGGTAAGTGGTGGAGGAAGATGCTGAGCGTATATGGGTCAGGGAAGAAGAAACATGGTGGAAGTTTGGTTGTGACTGAGTTAAAGGAGATAAATGAAACCTTAAAGAAAAGCGAGGCTCAAAATTATCAAAGGGAAAAGAATACATGTTGCTTAGGTGAAGGGCTTTGGAATCAAATAGACCTGCATGCAAATCCAGGTCTTAGACTTTCCAGCTATGTGTCCATAGGCAAATTACTTAATCTCTCTGTGGCTCAGTTTCTTTATCTGTAAAGTGGAGTTGAAAATGGTATCTGTGTCAAATAGCTGGTAAGGGGGGCACCTGGGTGGCTCAGTCAGTTAAGCATCCGACTTCGGCTCAGGTCATGATTCACGGTTCGTGGGTTCGAGCCCCACGCCGGGCTCTGTGCTGACAGCTCAGAGCCTGGGGCCTGCTTCAGATTCTGTATCTCCCTCTCTCTCTGACTCTCCCCTGCTCATGCTGTGTGTGTGTGTCTCTCTCTCTCAGAAATAAATAAAACATTTAAAAAAATAGCTAGTAAGGCTTATAAAACCCAGAGCCACCACATGGATGGCCATCATGAGAACTGACATAATGATGAACTGGTGCACACCTAACGCCTTCTTTTAGCTAATCCACCATGTGTTCACTGTGCCCCTTCTGTAACTACCAGGCCCTGCTCTCATCTTCTCTGCCTTTGTCTTCACAGTCCCATCAAGGCTTACATCCCAGCCGCAGGCCCAGCACTCCAGCCCCCAGAGCAGTCTGAACTTGAGATCTTGTGGGGCTGACCCTGAGCACAGCTCTCTGGAATGACCTCAGAGCTGGCTTTCTCTCTCCTGGATCTGGAGAGTCTCTACGTCCCAAGCCCTAATCCATTCTCACTGCTCTTTCCATGAATTACAAGGCACGAGGCAAATGCCAGCCACCTGGACACGAAGCCAATCAGGTTCAGGTACGCCGAGGAAGCATGTGGATTCCGCAAGTCCCTGATCCGCACTGAGCCGGCTCTGCCAACACCAACCACCACCACTCCGAACTTTCTTTCAGGCTGAAACACAAGGAACCAAGGTAGGATTTAAAAATAGTCCGTGCATCTAGAGAGAGCAGCAAAACAGAGACATGTGAGCAGGACCGGTCAGCGTCTAGACAAGGAAGGAAAGGAGCCAACCCAGAACACACCGGAAGCTGCAGGATACAAGGGGGGAATAAGACACTCCCTGAAATGAGAGCTTGGAAAGAAGTCAGCTCCACCCAAGACCTATTTCTACGGGAGTTCTGTGTCATCCACGGAGAAGGCTCCTCACATTTGGTTCTCTACTTGGCCACCTTTCCGAAGAGGAGATTTTCCTCTTTAAGCTGTACCTCCCTGAATCCTTCCTCCAGTGGACATACAAATCTGATACAGCTGGGACTCATTCCGAGGCCACAGTGGCTTAGTGAGATGCTGGCACACAGGACACAGGGAAAACCACGAGCCATCACCTTGTACAGAGTCCATACTATGCGGTCTGCATTGCAACCAACTTTGTTCCTACCGTCCTGTGGTAGCTTACCTATTACTCAGGTACACTGCGAGGGGCTGTGTGTAAATAGCATCAGAATGAAAAATCACGTCAATTCTTTAAAGTTATAGAGTCACTTAATAGAATTCAAACTGATAAAAATTACGTACACATCCCTTACACCCAGTTCTCCCTGGATGCCTCTGAGGACAGAAATGGGAATGTCAGCTCGGATTCACCTGTCACCTGACATATCCGAGTATCGCTATTTCCCAATGATTCTGCCCCTTCCTGGGTAAACTGCTCTAGTGTTGTTCGAGGATTTCTTGGCCTCCACCTGATGCCGCACTAAATCACCAACTGCTCTCACTCCTAATCTCACCCTTTCCATGTATCATCCATAGGCCTGCCAGAGCACTTGCTTAAGATAAAAACTAAGTTCCTTCCCTGATTAAAGTCCTTCATTTTCCTGTTATTGACTGACTGTGTCCTCCTATGTTGAAACCCTAACCCCTGATATAAGGGTATTAGGAGACAGGGCCTTTGGGAGGTAATTCGGATTAGGTAGGGGCCCTCATGCATGGGATTAGTACCCTTATGAGTCACAAAAGACCTTGCTTCCTCTCGCTGCTCTCTACCCAGGTGCCAGCAATCTGCAGTCTGGAAGAGCACCCTCACGAGAACTGACCTCACAGCCTGATCCTGGACTTCTAGCCCTCAGAACTGTAAGAAATAGATTTCTGTTGTTTATAAGCCATCTGGTCTGTGGTACTGCTTTATCACAGCAGCCTAAAGTAACTTAGACACCAGCTAAAGAGAGAAAAATACCTAAGTCCAAGTTCTTTAAAAAAGAACAGAATCCTGAATCATTATGCTGTACATCTGATCCTAATGTATTATGTGTCAACTATGTCTCAATAAAAAAAAAATACTTTAACATGAAAAAAAAAAAAAGCCCCTCTGCCCCTTGGTGTTCATGGAACAAAAACATGAAAAGTTTTTTATTCTCTACTCCAGACCCTCACCCATGGTATATTTCCCTCAGACTCTCCATCTCAGTAATGCCATCACCATCTACTCAATTGCTCAGGTCCTTAAACTTGGGAGTTATCCTAGCCTTTTTTCTCTGCCCCGCATTCCATACCCAATTCATCAATAAATGGCCAAGATCCATCCATAAGCCGCCTATCGACTTCTGTCCATCTTCATTGCTACCCCCTAATCCAAGCCATCATCTCATCCTTTGGACTGTTTAACTGCTTTACTTGTTGCCCTGTTCTATTCTTCATAAAACAGCAAGAATCTTTAGACTAAACACAATCAGATAATGTTATCACCTCCTCACCCCCCAGCTTACAATTCTCCATAGGCTACTTATCATACTCAGAATAAAACCCAAACCATTTGCTGTGGTCTACAAAGGCCTTCATGACCTGTTCCCTGCCTCTCTCTCTCTCTTAGCTCATCACCTAGCACTCTCCCTCTTGTCATACTGGCTTTCTTCCTCCTCTTTGAACATGTCAAGGTCATTTGCACCTCAGGGCCTTTGCATATATGGTTTACTCCAAAAAATGTGAGGCTCTGGGAATGTATCTTGGAAAAAGCCTGCTCTTACAGAAATTTCAAAGAAGGAAGAGAGCAAATAAATCAACACATGAATAAATGTCAAGAGACAGTGAGCATTTGGGGCGCCTAGGTGGCTCAGCTGGTTAAGCGTCCGACTTCAGCTCAGGTCATGATCTCACAGTTCGTGGGTTTGAGCCCCACGATGGGCTCTGTGCTGATAGCTAGCTCAGAGCCTGGAGCCTGCTTCCGATTCTGTGTCTCCCTCTCTCTCTGACCCTCCCCTGCTCATACTGTCTCTCCCTCAGAAATAAATTTTAAAAAATCTTTAAAAATTTAAAAAAAAGATGTGTCAAAAAAAACTATGAGATCATCCATTTAAAACTTTCAGAATAATTTACAGAAAGTATAATAAATTACACACTGAATGGCTGAACTACTAACCATAAATATTTATACACGAAGCAGTTCTTTTAAGAAATAAGACTCAGAGGGGCACCTGGGTGGCTCAGCTGGTTAAGCATCCAACTCTTGGTTTCAGCTCAGGTCATGATCTCACACTTCAGGAGTTCGAGCCCCCATTGGGATCTGCACTGATAGTGCAAGGCTGCTTGGGATTCTCTCTCACTTTCTCTCTGCCTCTCCCCTACCCATGCTGTCTCTGTCTCTCTCAAAAATAAATAAACTTGAGAAAAAAATAGGACTCATAAATGTGTCTGTCTTGGTATAACATACATAATTGAAATGAATAAAGTTTGGAAGACCAATGTTGTTACACTATGTTAGAATCTTTAAAAATCACACAATTAGTAATCCATTTGTGTTTATGATATTCATACGTATAAGTGTAAATTTAAAAAAACTTTTGTACATGAGAATAAAAAGGTTATATATGTTTAATTATATAAACATGTATATGTGTGTATGTGTACGTATACATACATATACATACGTATACATACACACACACACATATACATACTACACTTTTATTTAAAACACTTTCCTAAAGCAAACCCCTCTCCAGCTACAACTTTCCATGCTTAACTGCTGACATATGGAAGCCCCTCTGGTATTAGTGAAGTACAGAACACAATGCTAAAAGACCAAGCAAAAGCCATTAATTGAGGCCTCTGAATTGATGGACATCTTCATCTGCACCTTCACAACCCTCACCATCATCTATTTAAGCCCACCATCCATACAATGATCCATTTTTTCACGTTTAGACAGTTTGTTTCCCATCACTGTTGGCTCTGACAATGCTATAGGGAGCTTGTTGCTTACCTCTTTCTTGCCTGACAGAAAATCATCCCGATTGCTGTACAGAAACTAGTAACATGGATTCCATTACCATGATAAACTGACAAAAGGAAGAAAAGAAATATACTGTGCTAAGAAAACATGTACCTCCAATCTAGGCACCCTCAACTGACATCTTCACTTAGCACTGGCCCTCCCTGTGCATTTCTTTGAACATCCTCCTTTGGATCCATTTTCCTTAACCACTAGGTTTGGAGCTGGTGACGATTACTCCCCAGGTACATGTGCCAAAGTCAGAGGCTGTGAAGCAGTAGGGTGAGCTGGGTTGGCATCTGATGTGGCCTGAGCTGAAACTACTGTTTGATACTGCACATAAGACGACTGAGCATACATATTTGTCATCCTAATGCCTGCAGGGGCTAAAAGCAGGGCACACTGGGAATCTAGGTGGAATAGCTTGCCAAGAAACTGGTTATTTCCATTTCTTTACATTACCTGTGGGAACTGATTAACTCTGTGTAGGATCCTCTTGTGCTTATAGAAGGGTGCACTTCTCAATCCTTCTGAAGTACTAGAAGCTCTAAGCAAGGTTTCTTTTTTAACACACTCCTCAAAAAACACACACTATATTACTCCATTTATATAAAAGTCCAGACAGTGCAAAGTAATCTATACTGACAGAAGGTAGATTAGAGATCACTTGCCTACTTGACAGAGGGTGAGGAGGGATGAACAGAGAGATTACAAAGGAAAATGAAGAAGCTTCTGCAGGTGACGGGTAACCTCATTATCTTGATTGCTAGGATTCACAGATGTATACATACATCAAAACTTATCAAACTGCACAGTTAATATGTGCAGTGTATTATATAAAGTACACCTCAATAAAGGTGCTTTTAAAAGGATTATCTAATATCTTAAGACATGCTTCTCAAAGTTCCCACCAAAGTTTTATTCTATACAATAAAAGGAAAAAAATCCTAGGGGTCTGGGAATATAACTCACAGCCATAAAACTAAGCTTCTTTAGGTCTCAAGCTCTAAAACACCTGTAAACATGTTGGGGCTCAGTCAGTTAAGCATCCCACTCTTGATTTTGGCTCAGGTCATGATCTCATGGTTTGTGAGTTCGAGCAATGCATCTGACTGACAGTGCAAAGCCTGCTTGGGATTCTCTCTCCCCCTCTCAAAATAAATAAACTTTAAAAAATGTTGTATACATGTTACTTCCTAATCCATAAATGATCTATGTTTCATTAGTTTAAATATAATGTTTAATATTAATTACAAGTTAAATTCTACATTTCCCTCCACAAATTTTCAGATTAAATAGATACCACAAGAAGACGTACTCTGTTTTCTTGGTGGCAATTGCTTACAACTAAGAAAGTATACAAAACTTTTTGCACAAGTGAAAGTCTGGATGCTTTTATTGTCTTTCCGTACTCTTTTTTTCACTTACAATTACCCCAAAATGGGCAAAAAAAACATTTGCCAGTTTTAGATACCATCTTCCTCTTTTAAGGAAGTAACACTTAAGAATTCAAAATATTTGTCATTTAATCCACTTACGAGGAAAAAATACATTAGACTCTTCATTTATCCAGGAAGAGGGCATTCTGTTTCTGAGTTAACTGAATATTCTAGATATTTCAGAAAACTTTTTTTGTTGTTGTTTACCTTCCACTGGATTAGACAATGCCTTAGGATAATCATTAACT